TTCATAAAAAACTGTTTACACACAGTTATTTTGCTTTTGACAATCTTTTTCAGGATGATCAGTCCTCCACTACTCAGTTTTGTTACACTAAAAACATCCTATAATGCAGATGACTTACTACTTTTTTTCAGTCTGGTATCCTTTCTTGAAAATCAGCAATTAGAACCACACATTATATTAAAAGCGTTGCTGAACCATGGGTTTTTTATACAGTAACATTATGTTATCAAATTTGTCCTTTATTCCTTTCCTAACATAGTTTGGGTTTTTTATGCTAGCAAGTATGGGGCTGATGTTTTCACTGAACTATCATAACCCAGGACGGGACCCCGAGAGGCAAGTCTGCTTGACATTCATCATTACATATGCAAAATTCAGACAGATTTTTCCATCACACATGCACACTTAGCCTACACTGAATTGTTTGTCATTTGATTGTCTAACCTTGCAGTCTGTCTGCAATCTTTCAGATTTTGCTCCTCTCTTTTTATATCCAATTTATTCAAAATATCCAATACTTGAAAAATTTCAGCTGCAATACTAGAAAGTTACTTGCTCCTACAACAATTCACATGTTAAAGAAGAGTCCGTAACTTGGAAATCTCTCCCAGAGCTTTATACATTTGGATAGAAGCTCTGAAGTTCAAAAAAAAACAGACCTGAATTTTAGTATGAATTTTTAAAGCTCACACCATTTCAAGAACACCATACCAATTTCAGCATTCTTTAGGAAAGGGGTGAGTCATCAGGTTCTGTGCAAAGTAAAGAGATTTCTTCCAGGTACAAGACACTCTGACTTGACAGCACAGATGAAGTAGACAGGGTTCTTCCAGCTGCATACCAGCATTAAGACTGCAGTGCTGTTCCCAGTTTTTTTGTCACCTCCCCATAGCGACACAGGCAAGTATGAAAAATACTGAACCACACAAATGAAACTAGTCATGCATATACAAAGGAAGGTACAGAAGAAGTATGAAGTCGTATGATTGGTCCCCAAGACCAGCAGTCACAAACACCCTACACAGAAGGGCTAAACAAAACTCCAGTCTTCCTGTCAGTAGGTAAATGTTTACAAAGGCTGCCAAGGCATTAGATATGGGTGAAAGCATTTGCAAGTGGTGTGGGTTCAAGTTAAAACTTTAATACAGACAGTTACACCAAATACTTACAGTAAGAGTGAAAGCCTCCACATCACCAGCAGCACTTGACAAAGGTGACGGAGGATGAGGAACCATCTCCCAGGCCTCATGACCTATACTTTACTATAAGCAGTCCTCAGGCAAGTGATACAATGCAAGATTCTTTATTTGCAGCTACTGTAGGAATAAGCACATCACAGGTTAGTCAACAGGACTGAAGGACAAATGTTTTGAATACTTGCATACTTTCCACATGTAGCGAAGGGAGCAGAGGAAGCACATTTCAGACTGCTATGGAAACAGAGCCAACCGAGCTGCCCAACAGAAAAAAAAAGCCACCCATCTACTTTCACACTTGCGAATTTATCCTTGTTTGACAAAGTAATTGAGAAAAAACATTTTATTTCTATATCCATTTATTATTCCAGTCTGTAAAAATATAAGACTAATATACAACTACAGCTAGCTTGATTTTGTAAAATCAATCTTCATTCAGTGAGATACCAATGTACATTATACATTAAAGTTGTAAGAAAAATACTGATATTTGACATTTTAAACAAGTTCATTCATGTAAAAATCACATTGCAAGTAAAATTTAATTAGAAAATACATAATATTCACAAAAATACACATATGTTAAAGACAGCTTGTGAGAACGTTATCCTAAATTTAATTCAGCTGTGGGGAAAAAAAAAAAAAAAAAAAAGATTCACAGTTAGGCTTGACTTATCCAGTACCATAGCAGAACTTCAAAGTAAATGCATCTTAATTCCATTAAGAATTTGTTCTTTTTCCTGTTAAGGTGCACTGAAATCTCCCAGTCACAAGTAAGGAATGACATGTCCCCCCACTGTGCATGTACACAACATATAACACTAGTCAAAGTAATTTTAGTTTTCAATTCCATTTTGAAATAATTTGGATATTTATAAATTAATTTATAAAATCTGGATTGAAAATACAATTTACATATACAGGATACTTCATACACAAAGATTACATTAATAGCAGCGTAATATTGTCAATCATGCATAGCATCCTTACTATCACTTTCAGATTTTTTTCTTTTTTTTAGCTAAAGTTAAAATCTATACAAAACAGTCAAGCCTTTAAGTATTTTCTTCCAAGGAGAAAATTGAAAAGATGTTAAAAATTTAGGAGGTAGTGAATGAAAGGCTAACAATACCAGCATATTTAAAAAAACCTTATACTGAACCCCAGTACCTTTTATACATAAAATTAAGTTTAGCCACTCATAATTAACCATTGATCATCCTGAAGTAACAATTTAAAAATATTTTGTAATTAATAGTGTATGCATTAGTAAGATATGGAAGAACTTTAGAGACTTTATGGTAACTGCAGCATTAAGCAATTACATGCTGTGCAGTCTGTCATTGTAACCGTAAATACACACTTTTAAAAACTCATTTTTAGGTTTACTCTAATGTTTTTATGAAGTCCCAAATGCTTAGTTTTGCTACATGTAACCAAATTTCTGTAAAACAAAACACAACATGTGTCAAAGAATATTATCTCATATTTAGATTAATCAGTTTGCAGGAAAGGTCCTAAGAGATGTATTCTCATGCAATTTAGAGTAGGACCCTGTTTCTACAAGTCCTTAATACTGGAATATATATTCAAAATATTCATGCATCTGTTACAAGTACAGGTCATGTAACACACAGAGTTCGGCAGCACGCTAACCTTGAGTGTTGGTACCCAAGCAGTAAGTTGGCAACACCAGCATTCTCAGACTCCACCCTCCTGTGTAAGTTAATAGCTCAAAGCTACTACCCAAGCTGCAAAACACTAATGTACCACATTAGACCCATAACGTATTTCCACTGAATGAAAACATTACACCCGTATTAAGTGCACTACCGGTTCGCTTTCTGTATCTGTGGACCTCATTTCTCATCCAAGTGCCTTTATTCCTTTGATTATTCATAATACATTCAAGTAAACACAAGGCACAGAAGTGCAAACTAGCATTATAAATGAAAGTCACCCTCCATTGATGATTTCATACAGCAAGGAAAGTCTTTTGATAAAGGAAAAAAAATAAGAGACATTTTAAAGTAAACAGTCTTCCTTAAATACAGGAAGTGTAGAGCAGCACTGATAGAAAACACGTCTATTTAAAACCTACACGGTGCAGAAGGAACATTTGTTTTCCTCATTTCACACTTAAGTGGATGTAGTTACTTCATTTTTAATAATTATTAGCAAAATAAGTAAAACACTTCATAATTCTTGCTCATGTTGGAAAAGATTCCAGAGCACCTCTTCTTCACACTGAAGAAACCATAAATAAATCTGACGAAGCAGAACTCTCACCTGTATTTGCAGAATACTATTGTCTGTTATGCTAACTCTCCATAAATCAACAGGAATGAATACCTTTACTGACATCTACGAGACTTGAACTCCAATGGTTTTGAAGGCTTGAAAATACTGCTGCTCATGAGATATGAATTTAAAAAATGCATTCAGTAAAATTAAACAGCAGCAATTTCTGAAGCAGTTTTGTTTACATCATTACAAAAATGAAACGAATGTAGTTTTAGCCTCTGATGCCCTATGAAGACGTCTACAGATACCTTAACATTAAACTTAGTCTCTTGTTAGCAAAGTTACCAGAGGTAGATGTTTCCTCAAGATAGACTGAGGGAAAAAAAGAAAGGGGTTGATCTCCCTTCCCGCACATCATATCTCCCCACATGCTTCCAAGAACCTAGACTACTGGCTCTGGCAAGCACAGTACCACAGTACAGAACTGGTAGCATCCTACTTCTTTCCTAGAGGTTGACATAGATTAGTGGATCCCTGGCGAGAAGCTCCATCCATCCTTCTCCCCAATCCTATTAGTCCCTATTTTATTTTCCTGCCACAACTTCTGTTCCCAGAGAAGGGTCAGGCTGGGAACTGAATGCCAAAGTGGTAAAGCAGAAGATACTAAAAAAGGGAAAGGGGAAAAATAATGCTAGAAGCCTCTCTCTGCAATTCTAGTAAATTTGCAGCTGATTACACACCAGCAGCATTAGGACTTGTCATCAGTTTATTGTTTTACACATAGCAACTTTGTAATATTCAAAACGCCCAGCCAGCAGTACACAAAGATTAGCATTTACAGTTTAGTTCACTATAATGAATAGTATCACATGGCTCAAGCAAGTTCTACTAAAGCCTCATTCTGATTTAAATCCTGCTGTTCTAACTTGTTCAAGTTTGAAGAAAGTCACTTTTTACATAATTCAGACTCACTACAGCAAACCTTTGCTAGTAGAAACCTCTACAGCTTCTACTAGTGCTGTAGTAGATTATGTTATTTCCACAGCATTACATTTACATTTGATTTCTTTGAAATTTACTGGGATTAGCAACTAAATCAAATTATATCCTTCAATATTACAAACTAAAATGAGAACAGGTCTTTGATGCATAAGTGTTCAGACTTTCACATGTGAATTTCAAAATCATAGTCATTAAAAACAAGCTCACCTGGCCATTAAAAACAGTAAAGGTGCATGACTAATTCGCCTGTGGTTGCACATTCGTTTACAAAGGAACAGTCACCCTCAAGAAGCCCCCACCTTCACATCCTGACTGTTGTGAAGTTGCTCACCACTATCACATAACCCTCCCGCTCAATGTATCAGTCAGGGAACAAGACCAGCCATGAACATTTCTTCCCACCCCACCTCCTGCTTATTTTTCAATTTCCTCATACACAGAGCCACATGAACAGCTCTACCAGCTGAATAGCAGTCCAGAACAGCAATGAAGTGGCTAAAGCAGCTCCATCATATATAAGCAGCACTTCCAACAAACATGAAACCACAGTACATTATATAGTCAACCGCACACAATAATGGAAGTTTACTTCTGTAGAACCAGTAGTATTCTGCATTAAAAAAAATAAAATCAAGTACCTTTAAAAGAAAGCTCACAGCGATCTCTTAGCTATCCTTCATCTTCAGTTTACATTTTCCTCATCTAATTTCAGTAATTTATCAATTATCTTCCATCTTTGTGAAGTATTTACATTGAAGTGCAGAATTAACTGAAGTTAGTCAACTTACATAATTTTGAACTTCTTGTATTTACTTTTTTCCCTCCTTTTAATCTAACTGTAGTGCTCAGTTGATGGAGAGGTATAAAATATTACACATTAAGCCAAATTAAAACATGTATGGCATCCTCACTTAGTACAAAGTACATCAATAATTTCATAGCGTTATTATAGTTCCATCTTCTTCTAATGACTTATGATCTGGATCTCGTACTTCACATTCCATGCTAATGCTGCCTGCTGAATGATTCAAGTCCATCTCATTGGAAGGAAGAAATCCATTTTGTGTTGACTCATGAAGGAGTTCAACTTGCATCAACGATTCCAGGCTTTCACTAGTAGGTGCGGCTTTTGGAATCTGCTGTGGCTCACCACTGTCTTCAATAATAATGTCCTCTTCATCGCTCTCCTCTTCTCCATGCAAGAAATTTGCTAAAATATTTGGTGTGCTACTTGGAAGGCTCGATTCAGTAGACTGACCGGAGCTGCCAGAAGTCCGACTGTTCCTGACAACATTATTTCTCTGGTTTGCTGGTCTTACCGTAATGATCAGGTTACGGCTGTTTGCAATCATCATGTCCGTAACCTGATCAAGGCTTTTTCCTGAAACCTCTATTCCATTCACCTCCAGTACTTCATCATTGACAGCCAGTAAGCCTGTGCTTTGAGCCAGACCTCCAGGGACAAGCCTAGATATGAAAATCCCCGGAACTTTCTCTAGTCCATGTGGCGTTACTCTGACACTAGAGCCATCTCGTATATAGAATCCAAGCGGTTTGTCAGTTCCGTATTTGTAAAGTCGTACCCTGCGATGGGTTTCTGGAAGAATATCTACATCTATAATAGAAGACACTGGTCTGAAGTCTTGTGGCATGCTAATGACAATGTGTGGTTTCTTCTTGTGATTATCTGGACGTAACACATTTGATAAGACATTTTTCTTCCTCGTCATAGTATCCGTACCAAAGGCACTGTAGTCTGCATCTTCTGTAAGACATAGCACATTGATGATTAGATCACTTTATATGTGGTCCATATCACATTGCTGTCGTGCTTTAGGTTAGCAGAATGAAATATCTAATCTAGAAGGTTTCTGGCTTGCTACAGTAGAAACATTTCTCTCTACACATGAAACAAGAGCTTTAAAGTTATGAGATTCAAAGTTCGTAATGCTTTCGGTTTCCTTCTACCAAAGGAAAGACAGTACACAAAAAAAATTAAAGAAAGTTAGCAGCAGTAAAAACACAAAGAACCATATTCTAGCTGCTTGAGGGAGAGGTTACAATGGAAAGGGTGAGTACATTCCTAGCAACATTCTAATTTTATTCAGAGTAATTCCACTTGTTAGTTTTCTCTCCTCAGGTTTCAGACCATTGGAAAAGAAAGAATGAAAAAGGGAAAGCAGCCAGTGTGCCTATTATTGCCTAGCTCCTGGAAGCTAGCCAAGTGACCTGGATTCAAACTCCAGAAAGCTTATTTCATTCTGCACTCTCCTCCCTGCCCCCATGCAATGTAGGTAAAATGGCCGTGGAGCAGAAACAAAGAGATCTTGCAGACAAACACTTCTAGCAAAACTGTTTGTACCAGCAACACTGTAGCTGCCACAATTTGATATAGACACATACAAATGGCTTAGAATTTCAAAAAAGGAAAACATATGCAAGCCATACAAATACTTCTAATGGAAAAGAAAACATGTTCTGTGGAAGCTTCCATTTTTCTTCTTAATATACTGTAACTCCTCAAAAACAATGAACCAAAACACATTCAGATCCAAGTTTCCTTGGATTTACACTTATATTTTTGCAATGTTGCATAGATTTTTTTTCTGCAGTGGATAAAAAAAAAAATCAAGCAGAACTGGTTTGCACTGACCCTGGGACTCGGAGAAGCTGGGATTTCTTTGTATTATCACACGAAGAGCCCATTAGCACAGCCAAGAAAGTAAAAGAATTGCTATACATTTCAATCTGTGAATTGAAATGACTACGGAAATGCTATCATAGGGTGAAATTTCAGGAGAGCTGTCAATTGCTGATAAAACAACTACACAGTGAGAGGTGGTAAATCAATTTTTTTTTTCTAGGCTAAGATGAAGACACACAGACATGTACCAGTTATATTTGGACTCTTCAGATGTTTTAAGCAAAATAGAACCACGAAACTCGTTTTGAAGCAATAGTCCAACACTATTCCAACATGTAATACTAACTCCTCCCTTCCTCAGACTTTAGGGCTGCTGAAAACAAGAAGAGTTTTTTAAGAATAAAATTATTGATCTACTTAGGCAGCCTTAGTATTCTAAAAAATACAGAACAGGAAGTGAAACAAATTTAAATTAGCCCACAAAAACCCCAAAGGTATTTATCACAAACTCATACCTTGCGTGTGCACAACAGTAATAAAATAGTTCATCAACATGGTTTAAAAGTGTCCTGATGATGGCTTTATTTACAGTTCTTTTTTATTTTTATTTGACACAGTAATTATTTCTGAAGACAGCCAAGTCTACACAACCATACTACACTCCGAGGTCACTTTTGTGACAATCTCAGCTACTCTGGGAGGCCATGGATGCCTCTCTAGACTATTACAGCCACCTTGTATAGTTAATTTTTACTTCTGCTGATTTAGCCGTTTTTTCACCTAGACTGGTGTTTGTGCAAGAGTTACTGAATGAAGGCAGCACTAACACAAATTGTTCCACACGTGTTACTTCAGCACAGACAGCCCACAGTGCTCTCGCTTCACATGAGAAAGTGCAGATTGACAGCACCCTAGGGACTTTTCTCTCCCACTTCACCCACCCACACAGCCTGTGCAAAATCTGCTTCCCTGCCTTCTTAGGAGCAGTAAGCAAAAAGGAAGCTAAATCCAGGACTGGACCAGCAAGAACAGTATGAAGTTTAACAGAGACAAGTGCAAAGTTCTGCACCTGGGACGAGATAACCAAAGAGCCCAGTACAGACTGTGATCTGTGTGGCGAGGGACCAGCGGGCTGGAAGGGACCTGGGGGTCCTGGTGTACAAGCTGAATGTGATTCAGCAGCACGCTGCTGCAGCAAAGGCAAACTGGATCCTTGGGCTGCATCTGCAGGGGCATTACTAGCAGAGACAGATGCAATCAACCCACTACTCAGCACTTGTGAGGCTGCACCTGGAGTACTGTGTCCAGCTCTGTTCCTCATAATACAAGAAAGATGTAGACAGACTGGAGAGGGTCCAAAGAAAGGCCACGAAGATCATCAAAGCGCTGGAGAACCTGCCTTATGAGGAAAGACTGCAGGAGCTAAGTCTTTTCTCTCTGGAGAAGAAAAGGCTCAGGTGGAACCTCACCATAGTATTTCAGTACTTAGAGGGTGGCTGCCAAGAGGACAAAGACACCTGGAGAAGACAGGTCAATGGGTACATGTTGCGCTGGGAGAGGTTTCACCTCTAAGAACATTGTTTTTGTTTTTTAAACAGTGAGAACAATCAGTCACTAGAACAATCTCCACAGAGATGCAGTGGAGTCCCCATCACTAGAGGTTTTCCAGATGCAATTGGAGAGGGTGCTAAACAATCTCATCTAGGCTCCCTTTCCCATAACAGGTTGGACCAGATGATCTCTCAAGGCCCCTCCCAACCTTGGCTGTTCTATGATTCTATGACTTGTACACAGAAGAGTAGGAAGGTAGAATAATCTACACTAGCTATGCTTGAAAACATTAGATGATTGCGAACACAGAAAATAATTTTTGTATTATTTGGGAGTCTGAAAGGTTCTCTCAGAAAAGCATGGAATTACTATTGTTCTTCAGCAAAAGACGTTGAGGAGAAAAAAAAAGTAATTTAAGGTTAAATTAAAATAACATTAGATCTCATCATCAAGCAAGAAAGCTTTAGAAATAGCTAGAAATCTGTTCTTCAGATGCCCAAGAGTGTTGTCAGTTGTACTGAAGAGTGGGTTGAATAAAAAACAATCCAACCTCCCAAACAAAAGCATACAATTGGTGGACTATGTCTGAAGCATAACACACCTCCAAAAATGCAAACTTACCATTTTCTCCGTAAAATGCATTTTGGGATATCTAACTGACTGAAGATGAGCCATTAAAACCCTATACTCCATTGCTGAAAACTAACATGCTGATTTTTCAGACAACATGGAACAATTCTTTTAATTTTTGCTTAAAATTTATGATCAAAGAAATAAGTGTGAGAAGGTTTGCCTTTATTGACAACCCACCCAACCAGTTTTAAGTTAGACATCCGGTTGTTACATGGGAGGACTTTTGCAATTCAATGAGTTGCAATAGCTTCTCTTTTTTATTTGGAACTACAATCACTTACAAAACAACTTGGAAGAGACAATTGTGAAAGAAGATACTAGACAGAAGGGCCTTGCCTTAAATATCTTTTACTGCTGAATATAAAGTAACACAATGACAGCAAGAAAGTGACAGTATAGGTGAAGATTTTAGACAAACAGTAGACAATGGTGACTTAAATATTAGAATTAAGCATGTTAATGAGTGCAAAGGTTATTTTTTTTTAGGTCATGGATTTCCCCTTCCCCCACCAGCAGCTGGTATACATCTTAGTGATCTCAAAAACTATGTAAAAACTTTTTTATGCAGTGCATGTTTAAGTAGTGTAGCTCTCTGATACTTTAGAACTCTGGTTTTATGGCCGCACAATCAATGATAAATTCAACAAGCCTAGAGATAAGTATTCCAAGGACCAGAGAGACATTGCATGGACAAGTAGCGTAATTTTTGCTCATTTCAACAGGTTAACTTCTTTTCAGTTGGTAGTGGTGACACACATTGCTAGGCATTTAACAGCTCATTGCTCCAGAAGAGCTCTGTTCTTTGGGAAGTTCTCCAGAGCGCAAATGAGTAAGCTGGAAGCATTTTAACTGATTAGTTCCATATTGTTCAAACCTTAAGTCATATCATGCCTTTTTTTTTTTCCCTAAGTAAACTTATCTAAAAAAATTGCACATGCACAATTTATTCGTGCTAGCGTGCAAGTTGCTGATGAAAAGTCTAGGATATAGGTACTAACGTACTGGTACCACTGAAGCACTAGGTTTCTATTGCTTTTACTACAGGAGTTGGTTTAGAAACCATACACAGGAAAACAGTGTATCAAAACACTGTCAGTACTGATGTTCCTTACAAGTGCTCTTCCACACGCACTGCAACATTAAAAGGTATTCAGTTTAGGGGGTTTTCTCATTAAATTCAAAGTGCACACATTCAGATTCTTGTCAAAGAATCAGAGTATCTGATATTTTACACATTCTGTTATATCAAACATATATCATATTCCACATTCCCAGTTTGCCACAGTGGGCTGAAAAGCTTCTTCACCTTCATAGCAGGCCACATCCCAGGATCCCTCCTCCTCAGGCCTTCCATGCCTACATGGCGAGTTTGGCAAGTACTAGATATACCTATATACATTTATTACATCCAATAAGTAGATTTACTGTGTCTTGTAAATGATCACAGTAAGTTTGTGCTCTTCACCCAACAGTTAGATTTAGAACTATTCATATGGCTTTTCACAGCTTCCTTCCCCAACAAGAACAGAGTTCACAAAAATCACCACCCAACCTGCCTTCCCACAACTACCAGCTGATAACACTTAAAACTATTGCCCAAATCAAATTTTTCACAATTAGTAGAGAAACATGAAGATTAGTTGCAAAAGGACTGGCTTTGAAAAAATTCTTATGTAAATATACCTGTATGTGAACCAACAGATTCAAAAATGCTTTTTAAACAAAAGCTAAGATCAGAAAAACATTTATTCAAAGAGACATGAACTTTAAAAGCCTCTTTCAGAAGACAAATACACAATCAGAAATCATAACACTGAGCTAGTGCTTTTGCTTTTAAAAAAATTAGTTCTTAAGTTACACAACATTATTGAAGTAAAAGTGTCTCAAAATTGCAAGCCATATGTCAAAACATTTAAGAAACTATAGAGCACCAGAGTGTGGTAGTTTTGCATTGTAACTAGTCTTAGTAGTCTAAAAATTCAAAACCAGCACAAACCTTAAGATGTGCAGTTAAAGTTACATAATTTGTGGGAAAAAATAGTGAAAGGTTGATGAAAACTCATCTCTCCAAATCTCAGCCAAGCAGCATGACTCTGTTTAACCTCTCTTCCACTGCTAAACAAATGTTCTAAAGCAATATTCTCAAGTACAAAGGCATCTTTGTTCTGGCACCTAGCTAATCACTTTAAAGTTGCAGCGGAAAATATTTTGGCATAAAGCCAAAGGACAAGGTGTTAACTACAGATAGTGTTAAGGAGAATGTCCACATAATGCAAGAATTATTTTTCCCCCCAGCAGTTTTAAGCTCAAGGTGGCACCAATCTGTATATACTTATTAAATGAAATTTAAAACAAAAGCCCACAAATGCCAAATCTGATTTCGATTTCACATTGTTCAAGACACATTTTAAATGTTTTCCTGATCTATTTGCAAAGCAATGTAGAGTTAGCCCTCAAGAATTAAGTTTTTCAAACCCCCAAATCATTACTACATTTTAATATAGATGCAACTTGGCATTTTTTTAAATTAAATCCCAACAAATCTTGTCTCTAATGACAAGTTGTAACAAGACATGGGTTTAGGAATGGTTTTAGGAAACTAACCTGTGTTTTTAGGAAGAGGACTCAGAATAGCTAGGATATTCCATAGAGAGCTGTTTAAAAAGAGCTAACTCCTACTTTTCACCACAATAAAGCTTCTTGGTGAAAAGTTATCTCAACAGGCACAAACAAATTAATCAAAGAACCCACTTTTTACTATAGACAGCCATGTACACACAGAACTTGCAGGAGTTGTATACTGTAATTTAATATCCTGCAAGTGAGTTTTAAGGATGTTATAATGAAATATATATTTTCTTAAGTTATCATCCTCTATTATTCTTGTATTTACAATGCAAAGTCCCCCACATCAAACTGCCCTTCAGGGCCTGTGCAGACTATGTCCCAGTCCACTATTTTATCTTCAGTAACATTTTTCTCACAGACAGAGTGACTCCCATACATCTGGATTTAATCATGATACATCAGTTTAACCTTTAAATTCCAGATGTCAACAGTACCTGTTAATCTGTTAAACTGCAGAATGAAATTCCAATAAGCAACTGTTATCTGCAAACTGATAGCCATTCTTGACTTGTTCAGTATCCAGTTTAGATTTAGCACCGGAGTAGTTTAAAATATTTAAAGTGATTTCGTTAAATACAGTTAGAAGAGTCTAAGGAGAACGTGATTTCATTTCATTACAGGATCTCTAGGTTTCTTAGCACATTAACCAATGCACATAAATGCTTAGGACAGACAACTTTCTACATAAATTTAGAAGTGAAAATGGAACAGAAGAGATTATTGCTGGAAACAAAAAAAGCGAAGTTCCATTAGAAAACCCACAAAAATTTTTCAGATTATTTAAGAGAATGGATGAAAGCCACAAGAAGCCTTGCAAGTAGAAGGGTAACTTATGTCACTTATTAGTTGCATTTCCAAAACAGCAAGGATCAAAGCAGCCCCATCAATAGCAGATACTTATTCAGACATTTGATTTTCAATTTCAAAGGTACAGCCAATAAAGATCCGTGCAATCAGATTAACTACACCTAGACAAATTATGCTGCACAAATTATGATGCATCTCTAACTCCTGCAATTCATCTTTAGTTACAAGCAAATTATCACAAATAAAATACAGAATCGAGTTATTTCCTTATTTTCAATCAAACAAACCTCTATTCTACATGGCAAAGATGCTAATGAAGTCAAAGTCTCAATTTAATCAATAGAAGTGACCAAAGCAGTCACAACTAATTCAGAACAGAGTACAGTGATGGAAGTGCTGGACTCAAATGCTAGCCTGGGTTCTTTATTCCCTAAAACTCTATAGCTAAAGGACTCTAGTGTCAAAGGGAAGGTGATGACAACTGATACTTTCTACACAGCTTTTCTTGCTAGTCAATTCTTGGCATGATGAACTTAAGCAAGTTAATCTTATTTCTAGTTTTGTGCATTGTATGAATTCTATTATCAGCTCCTCACACCAGAGTAATAAGAAGTGATCCATCATGCTCTAAACAAAGGTACAATGAATAAAGGTATAAGGTGTTATAAATGTAACACTAGTAACAGTCAGCATTAAACAAGTAACATGAGCCACAATCTAAAAACATATGGTGTTAAAATATAACCTCAATAATCCCAGTCTGACAAAGTGGCTTATCTGTTCTCGTCATACGGCTACTGTAGGAGACTAATGGAATCATAGACCTTTCATGCCTCCAGGTTCTATTAAAGCAAATAGTTCATTCTTTTGGCAATTCAGGACTGAAAACTTAGGCATTACTAGACCACACTATCCTCAGTGCAAAGCAAACATATTTTGCCAGCAACACAGCAGCTGGCAAGCAGCCACACTATTTTTGAATATTGTTTTTGTGTTGGGCTGCTGTGGAGCTATGAATTTTTTGGAATAGGAAAGCTGATAAAAGCTGATGCCAAGGCTTATTTTCCTTAAAAAATACTTATCTCAGCAACAACCAGAAACAGTGCACATTTTTATAAAATAGCTACATGCAACAAGCAGTCTGCCATTCAGCAATCAGTTGACTGCCTTGTTATGATAGGAACTGCACATGCATGTGTTCATACATATACACACACAATGCATGCACATTCATACCTATCTGCAAGCAAGCAGAAAACCAGTAAGTGCAGAAATTGGGTTTTCCTGGCTGCTCTGGATTAAAACAATTTCAAATCGCATCACTAGATTCCCGCCTGACACCCGTTCAGTTCCATATACTGAATATGTTCTAGACAAGAGCAAATACAACTTGAAATTTGATATTTTTTTTCCTCACAAACAAAAGCAGACACTAGAAAATGACACCCAGAACTTTGTTCCTAGAAGACACACTATTTTTAAAAGCAGACCAACAAACTAAGCAGCACTCACTTTTGAGGTTTGCTAACTAAAATAAGCTTGTAATTTTGAAATCTTCAGAATGTTTTATTAAGGAAGTGTGATAGAAGTAACACATTACAAAGTTGGTCTTTAATTTATACTGACATTTAATATTTCATATAAAAAGACTTTCAAGATTCCTTTCCAACCTGTAATGGTCTCTCTCCTTGTCTGAACAAGATGGGAATTTTAAGTGAAAGGCATCCAACGTACAGAGCAGAGAACCCTAGAGGTTTTAAGTTTATTTTCATTTCCTTACATAAAACCAGAAAGAAGTATTTTCTAGAGAGATTACTATCTAACTGAATTAAACACAAGTAAAAAAGTACAAAGTACAAATAGGTTGCCTGAGGAAGTTCTTGCAAGAGAGATGCACTGCAAATACCTTTCATAAGCCATAATTATTATGGAATTCAATATGATGAAATAGGACTGAAGGGTTTTTTTTCCTCCATACATCATACTGTTTACTGGATAAACAGATGAGTCACAGACTTCAAGTGCACCTACCTTTTCTCTGAATGAAAATCCTGAGTAGAGGATTGGCTGTGGAAACTGCTTTATGATAATTGTCATCATTATTGATAGGCAACAGGTCTCCATGAATGTCCGTATATCCCACTAGAACATCGACATTTGGTATCTTGTGCACATGCTGCAGTAATCCATAGAACTCCTCAAACTTTCCAGGTTTGGATCTCTCCAGAGAAAATCGTCGAAATTCTGCTCCAAACTACAAAAAAAAATATCTTACATCATTAATATAGAAATCTAACATCTTCAAGCAATTGAGTGATTTTTCTGTTAAACCAGAAATGTTATGGAATTAAGAGTGCACTGAAAACTATAAACAATAATTTTGAAGTGACATAAAAAGGTCCGTTTAAACTTTTTTTTTCCAGAATTATAACTATTTCTGGTATTGATAAAAACTGTACTTTTCAATACGCAAAAGTCATTTTCATTGCTTCATTTAGGTCAAAGCGCTCACTAACATGGGACCTTAGCATTAAGGTGACAAACCTGTGCAAGAATAATTGCAGATTCTTACATGCTTATGAAACATATGTACTCTCGGTAAAGGACAAAATTCCTACCCAGCACTGATGTTGGTGGCTCTAAAACAAGATTATGATTAACCTCCTATGGTATGCGACTACCTGGAACTTTTTCAAAGAAATTTCAGTGCACTTTAGAACGGTATGTATAGACTGTTACACAGCCATAGATAACCTACGCAAGACTGAGTAGTTTTCAGATTCCCAGTTGTTCAGACAAGAAATGAAAAAGCCACTTTGACCTGATGACTACAAAGAATGGCTGCTGCTTTTCAGTAGCAGTAAAACTTTAGTGAGCTAGTCTCAAGTCAATTCTGCTCTTAAACAGAGATACAAAGCAGGCAACCAGCCACTACTCCTTAAGAGCATCTAGAAGATTTGTCTACATGACCAATACTCAAATCTTGATTGCAGTCTTTTAAAATGTGGTTGTATCGAGGGCATAAATCAGACAATATTCAGAAGATATGCAAAAAAAACCCCACCATTTAATCACTGGCACTGTACTTTCAAGGGTAGCATTTGCATTTAGACAGTACGATGATTCAGCACAAAACCCCAGCTCCCTAGTCCACTTGAGCGTCAGTCTCCTCTATCGCCTATACTACAAACACTTGTTAAAAAACAACACTAGCAATGATTCAGTGGTGGTAGGCATAAGACTAAAGTGGGTGCAAATAAAAGAGTAAGCACTTGACATAGACTAGACAAATTTTAAGACAAATTTTAAGTTTAGCAAGCATAACTGGTAAAATTGCACCATTCCACCCAACACAGGCAGTACCCAAAACAAACAGAATATTGGACAAAAATTACTCCAAAACCTCCATATCAGGCACACTCAACACATTAAAGATGCTAAAAGGAATTAAGAAATGGCAGCAGCCAGGTTACTAAAAGCAGACCAGCTTGCATATGAATTAAAAAGGTAAAACTAATCACTAAAAACTAGAGAACAAACAAAAAAGTCAGCTGGTGCAATCTTCTTGTGAATTCTAATACTGACCTACAGTGAACAAAGGCTTTAAATAATTTCTTTAGCAAGTTTAGTTTGCAGCAGAACAGAAGGGCACATGCAACAAAATATTCACTGACTGAAAGTTTGAGCCTCACAGTATCACATACTTGAGTATGTGTTACACGCAGTAAATGTGAAGGTGCACATTACCAATTCTCTATACCAACACTTTACCTCACATTTGATTACAAGCTTTTGGAGAACAAAAGCTTTAGAGTTCTCACATACAAATAAAGTAATGAAAATAAGGAGACAAGGACCCCATTGTTAGTGCATTAGCACCACACTAACTCAAACACAGCACAGCAAAACAAGCTACACCTTCCAACACCCCACCTTCCTCCAGAAGTTTCAAATAAAGGAATTATCTGTGAACGTTCCTCTTCTAGAAATACTCCAATTACAGTAACATTAACTAACAATAAGGCAGAAGGGATGATTCATACTTGCTTACAAGAAAAGCAAGGAAAAGCCTGGAGGAGGAACTCCCATCACGTCAAAGCAGCACACTTAATCATGACGTCAATGAAAGACTTTATCCTGTGTCTCAAATCTTTCTTCAGCTATGTGAAGTATGAATGCCACAGGAATTGCCCATGCACTGCATCAATTTCAGTTGTTTGGCTTCGAAAGAGTAGGTAGTTTAAACATAATTCAGTAACAAAAGTTTAAACAGCCAACAACTTCACTCTCAATTTGGAGTAAATGTTAGATACTATTGCAGCAAGCATACAAAGGGCCAGATTTTCAAACGTGTGATTTATTTTTTTTTCCACATTATTTTATACATAGTTGGTGCATACACAAAGGTACTAATAATCTGGCTATTCTTTCCTAACTCGGTTTGCCATATATTCAATACTATTACAAAGCAGACAAAAGACAAAACTATGCAATTTGATAGTTTATTTTAAACCCCTGAAATGTTTTCATTTTATATCAAATGTTCAACGGTTTGATTAAATAGGCTGCACTCGCAACCTCAAAATTTAGAGGAGATGAAAGACTGGGAGAGACTAACTTGAGAAGAGAAGGCTTCTTGCCACCTGATCTCTTTACAAATTCATGCCGTTACACTGCTAACTCATCCGGGAAAACACAGTACAAGTGATGTCAGCATACTAGGAAGTTACTAGAGATACTAATTTAAGAAATACTTATGAGAGACACCTTTAAGTCCTCTGTAACACATCACACTGCTGCTATACTGTAATACTCCAGCAACGACAGAACATGAACTACAGTAACCACATATGGCTTTTTTCAGAAAGAAATCTAATACAGTATTACTCCAAATCATAAGACGGGGGGAAACTTGAATTTTATCTCTAGAGAACTAGAAGATTATTTTTGGGCTTTCATACCGTCACCAGAAACTCTCATTTGGCATATAAAGTTTCATTTTTTTAGACAAGAAAAAGGGTTAACTGGAATTAATATGCTATGGGGGTTCCCCAGGGCAAGTTCAGACCAGCTACCCAAATTGAATAAACTAGACTAACAAAAGGATTTTGCTCATATAACTGCAACTGCAGTTGGGCTGTGCTGGCACAGCTTTGTCATTTGGTCATCGATTTGCAATATCTAAATAAAGAGCTGTACATCGCTGATACACCTTCAAAGCCTAGACCACTCCACAGTAATGGTCCCCGCCACCTCCCACACAAGCCTTTCTTCCTCCTCTTCAGAATTGCTTATTTTCATAAAAGGAAGATGACTCCCATGCTACATTAAATCAAGGTGCTGTTAAATAATGCATTAGCGACAAGTAGTTCTAGGAATGCCTTGAAACCTGCTTCATAATATGCACTTAAGAGACAGTCCCTATTCATTAGAACTTCTACATTTCTCTGTACAAATACCAAAGAACACATCACACAGCTGATCCCTAGATATATTTTAAATCAAGGAAAATACACAAGGGGGGAACAGTCACCTTAGAGTTTTGGGCTGAGGCAACAAGTATTTTGTTTATAAACACACTGTACTGATTGTTTTCAATCTTACAAGAGCATATATGAAAAAAGGCTTCATCAACCATAGTAACAGCTATGCTTAATTAGCATTTGAAATCACGGCTACCAGCTATTCCTGTGCTTTCTGGTTCTGTCCACATGAAAGTTAACACTTTAAAGAAATTATCATCATTCAAGCTATAGAGACCAACTATACATTTTCTAGAAGTTTCAGCACTATGTTATGTTATCCTTAAAAAACCCCACAAAATACCACAAGTCCCAACTGCTTCACCTATGCTGCTGTAACACACGATTAGCAGGAAAGAAAGGTACAGAACACAGACAACAGACTGTAGACCAGTGTAAAAAAGCCCACAAGAGACATATTTTTCTATGAATGGAACAAAACACATTTCCATGTAGGTGTGCTTGCAATTTGCGCAAACAATTAAATACGGGTTTCAGTTAAGTAAATGTGTGTAACTTGAGTTAATAGCTTGATACTCCACCTAATACTGCACATCCAACACTTCTACAATTAACTGCAGAATGACGTTAACTAAATATTACAAATATAAATAGATCAAAAATGTAGTTTCTTTTAGAACATCAAAGTTTTGTCAGCAAGCCTTTATCTAACCAGCACATAAAAAATTAACAATAGGAAGAACAGATACACAGGTGAGAATTTACTGAGTTGTGCACAGCTTTGACGAGAAACTGATGGTATAAGCTGTAACATACAGATACACACTCATAAAACAATTGCCAATGTAAAATCCTCAGATAAGACTCTAAAAGAAGGCAAACTCTACTTTAAGATAAGTTAGGGCTTACTTCTACCAACTAAAGCAAGCTGTAAGAATATGCTCTACCCCACCAAAAAAATAAAGGTACAGAAACACAGTCACTACGATAAATAAATAAAACCTAGTACAGAAACAGTCACTAAGTTTAACAAATGTACTCTTTTTCTAATTCAGACAAAGAACAAGTTTTGGAGTTTGTGAATTATGACTCTGAAGACTTCTTTTGGCCCGGTTATCCCAACCTTTCCCCAAGCGTTCACTACGCTGTTTGTTTTTTAGTCTACACATAAACTCCAGGGCTAATCCCGCTAATGTCCTTTTTTAAAAACACTTCGAAAACACATACTTCACCCCCCCCACCCACGCCCCCCGCAGACAGCGCACCCAGTGAGCGACACCGCCACCCAAC